GCGCGTGATATACACGGACCTAGGAAAAAAAATTTCAAGTCTCTAGCTCTTATATCTTCTGAAATCGACGCGTTCATACATACGGACGGACGGACGGACAGACAGACGGACAGGGCCAAATCGACTCAGCTCGTCGCCCTGATCAAGAATATATATACTTTGTGGGGTCTGCCACGCCTCCTTCTGCCTGTTACAAACATTTCAACAAAACCATTATACCCTGATTTCTCATTTTCAATGGGTTCAGGGTATAACAAAAAACAAAACCCAAAATATAAATTTGCTGGAACAAAAAATATATTTGTGATCTGTGGGTCAGTGACCATACCAAGCTGAATACATCGGTCCTCGTCCGAAATATCAAGCAACAAAAACAAACGTCCGAGAGAGTGCAGCGAGGGGACAGAAATAAATACATCGGCCACCAAACAAAAAAAGAACTATTACGCAAAGCCAGGCTGTAAACAAGTAAGAAAGCTATAGTCGAGACTGCTCGACTACGAGATCCCCTGAACCCTTGGAGCAATAGCTATTTCAATAATTTTTCGCGTCTTTCAGCTTACACAAGAAATACGCACACACACACACACACACGCACGCACGCACTCACACACATACACGAGTTCGAGTTGCGTTTTCGTGGAGTACGGCCGATGTCATCGTGATCCATCGTGGACAATAGCTTGATCTGTGTTTTTCCCTGTGAAAGTGGAAAGAACTGTAGACAGCGTGGTTGCGGTGGGCGCGACGCACCCAGCGACGGCAAAAATTATCAAAGACTTACTTCGCGGCGGTCTCGCAGAGTACCCCAGTGATACAAACCGGTGGTGCAAGAGAGGGGGGCAATAGCGTCACTGTTTTTGGCGTCAGGGCTTTCCTCTTTCCCTCGTCATAGCTGGTATGTTACCACTGAAGTACTTGGTCGCCGAAGCCGTGGAGCGGAATTCGCACGCGCCTGCGCGTCTCAATGCTATCAGAGCGAAGAGCATTGTACGATGGCAAAGAAAATGGAATAGCTCAGCTAAAGGGCGGTGGACGCACATGCTCATCACCCCGCATAAACCCGCATGGGCTGCAGTGTGCGCTTACTTAATTGTTTAATAACTTTTTGTGGACATACGATCTTCATGAAACTTTCAGATTATGATTATAACATGGATATGCATGCAAATCAACTCAGCTCGTCGCCCTAATCAAGAATATATATACTTTGTGGGGTCTGCCACGCCTCCTTCTGCCTGTTACATACATTTCAACAAAACCATTATACCCTGATTTCCCATTGAAAATGGGTTCAGGGTATAAAAAAAAACACACACGCACGCACGCACACAAAGGCATACATACACACACACGCATACACACACACACACAGACATACACAAACACATACACACAAGCATAAACACGCATGGGCTGCAGTGTGCGCTTACTATGAGAACTTAATTAATCGCTTCATGCGCTCGATCGAGATGGTCAAATGTTGAACAAAAGATCCCTCTATGCTCAATGTTTCCCTTGCTCTATCTTCCCTTCTGTGTCAAGTGTATACCGAACTTTTCAAACCGTTTGCCAAGCTCCTACAAAATATATGCGTTTTCGTTATTATTTGTGGGAAGGGTATGAAAGCGGTGGTGCTCATTAGAGCTGGAGAACCATCGATAGAGACGGTACTCGATGGTTTTCCCAACGATGGTTCAAACCATCGATACTATCGATGGTTCCATCGAAAATTTTTGTTGTATTAAGCGGTCAAAATGGGACCAAACTTCCGCTGTCGGGCACAATTCCCTCTTGGGTCAAGGCGAGGCCTATCATAACCTCTGCTGACTACGGGTACAGCTTCCGGAATACTCTTCAGTGAAGAGTCTTCACTCAGAAGTAGTGCTGCAAAACCATCGATGGACCGTCCATCGATTTTGTTTGAGTCCGATGGATTAAAACATCGATAGTATCGATGGTTCCATCAAAAATAGCTCCATCATAAAAAAATTATTGAAAATTCATAGCAAAAAAATCAACTTTATAAACATTTATACTTAGTAAGTTCAAAACAATTCATGATTTTTCGTCTTAATTCATAAAAATAATATTTGTATTCCAGTTAATCACAAAACAGTCTATCCTAAAAATAAACTTTGGTTCATATTTATCTTATAACTAAAAAACAAAAAGTTCGACTGTAATGAACAAGTCTTAAAATTTAACTTAAAATTAAAAAACAAAGCTTAACTATCTTTCACAAAAGTCTTGAGCTTAAAACTGAAATTAATTATCATGAGATCCATTATGTGCACGCTTTAAATGCTCTTGCATAATTGATGTGTTCCCGCTCGTTTTATATTGCTGCCCACACAACAGGCATTTCACAAGGCATTTCACAGTTTTTTTCTTGGCATTTTTCAAAAAACTTCCATACTTGAGATTTCTCAAATTTCTTTCGGTTATTCGGAGGCGCAATATTTTTAGTGTGTACCGTAACAGCACTAACCAGAGAACACATAGACCGGACAAGTAGTGTAAAGCGTTTTGCACACTTTTTTTCGGGAGTTATCTCCCAGACACTTCGTATTTGCTCGGCTCTTCACTTTTTGGGCTCGAGCTACGAAAACATACGAAAGCACAATCATTTCGCTTCATGCGCTCGACCGAGATGGTCGACTGTTGAACAAAGGATCCCTCTGCGCTGAATGTTTCCCTTGCTCTCTCTCTCTCACGATGCTCTCTGCTCTCTCAAATATGTGTATGTATGTATGCATGTGAGCACAAGCAGCGCTCACAAATTGAAATTTCTTCGCAGCGAGAGCCCATGCCTACCCTTATGTGTGAAGAGTATACCGAACTTTTCAAACCGTTTGCCATGCGTTTTCGTTATTATTTGTGGGAAGGGTATGAAAGCGTTGGTGCGCATAATGAAAATGTTTTCGCGACGAGCATGCACACACACACTGTCCCTTGCTACATGTACTATGTACTGCATGTGAGCACAAGTAGGCTAACGAAAATTGAAATTTCTTCGCAGCGAGAACCCATGCCTACCCTTATGTGTGAAGAGTATACCTAACTTTTCAAACCGTTTGCCTTGCGTTTTCGATATTATTTGTGGGAAGGGTATGAAAGCGTTGGTGCGCATAATGAAAATGTGTTCGCGACGAGCATGCACACACACACTTACAGTATGCTACATGTACTATGAGCATTTGTATGCCTGTGTGCGAAGCTCTTGCTGCCTGTAGCAATTTTAAATCCCAGCATTTGCATTTGGTCGATCTTGTGAAGTGCTCACATACATATGTATGTATGTATGTATATACATTTGATTGTGTGTACGCATGGGAGGCGCTGCTCACAATTTTGGGATATAACTTGTAGAAGCACTTGTATGCCTGTGTGCCTTTACATGTGCGTGTGTGTATGTGTTTGTATGTATGCATGGGAGATGAACATTGGCGTGTGCCTCCCTCAACTTAGAATGGTGTGAACGATTTTGGGCTTTGATTGAAGAGGCGCGCTTATGTTTAAGTACCTGTTTTGATTCAATGATCGTGGGTTTACCTATCAGAATGAATGTTTTTTAAAAATGTGGTACCTGATTAATTCCAATGGGCAAAATGGGATGTGTTTTTTTTAACCCTTGCACTTGTGCATACATATGTAGGTCAATTTGACACCTTTTTAAAAAGATGAATACGTAAATAGGTCAAATTGATCATTTTTACAAAAATTTGAGCAAACGGTTTGAAAAGTTCGGTATACTCTTCACACATAAGGGTAGGCATGGGCTCTCGCTGCGAAGAAATTTCAATTTGTGAGCGCTGCTTGTGCTCACATGCATACATACATATACATATTTGAGAGAGCAGAGAGCATCGTGAGAGAGAGAGAGAGCAAGGGAAACATTCAGCGCAGAGGGATCCTTTGTTCAACAGTCGACCATCTCGGTCGAGCGCATGAAGCGAAATGATTGTGCTTTCGTATGTTTTCGTAGCTCGAACCCAAAAAGTGAAGAGCCGAGCAAATACGAAGTGTCTGGGAGATAACTCCCGAAAAAAAGTGTGCAAAACGCTTTACACTACTTGTCCGGTCAATGTGTTCTCTGGTTAGTGGTAACAGCAAATGAAGATTCCTTATTGGCGTCTGCAGGCGAAGAAGCACTTTTATCTAAAATCCAAAACAATTAGAAAAAACGTGTTTGCTATTAAGCACTTTTATCTAAAATCCAAAACAATTAGAAAAAACGTGTTTGCTATTAATGGGATCAAAAAATTTTCCATTTTCCGTGGAGGAACCGCCAACAATTAAATAATGTGGTAAATAGGTATCTATGTGCTATATGTTAAAAAATAAATCAAATTGTTTGTGTAAAATAGATTCTAATTTTAATAATAATTTGAGTATCAACGTATGAACTTACTTGTGGCTTGGCGTCTGTAGCGATCTATCGACATCGAGAAAATTCCATCGATCTATCTAACAAAGGAAAGTCCATCGATACTATCGATATTTCCATCGATGGATTTGCAGCACTACTCAGAAGGGAAGACATGGGTTCTTGCTGCGAAGAAATTTCAATTTTCGTGAGCTGCTGCTTGTGCTCACAATGTGAGCCTCACATGCATACATACATATACACATTTGAGAGAGCAGAGAGTTCTCTGGTCAGTGTCTATGGTTAGTGGTGATAACCAGGGATGCCATGTCAAAATTTGAAAATTACGTAGCCAGGCTCCAAAATCTACGTGTTTTTTCATAGCACAATGTTGCTGAAATACGTAGATCTACGTACATTTTTTAAGCAATACAAAAAAATGAATAAACCATTAAATTTGTAAATTAACTGTATTTTACTTCGTTGTTATTAATTTCATTGTTCAAATTATACATATTCATTTATGTACATGTTTTACAAAAATTTATACATGTTTCGATTAAAATATTTTAGGTGTTTGTCAGAAGGCTCTAAGTTTTCCTTTAATCCACTTTTGGTGTGAAGCAAGCCTTTTAAAGTGTCCGTGTCTAATTTGTTTGTTATTTGTCTTAATTAAATTAATTTCTGAAAATAAACGCTCAACATTAGCACTGCTATGTGGCAAAATAAGCTAATTTTGGGTTAACTCCGTCAAGATGGGAAACATGTGGGTTGAACTTCCCTTGTTTGCGTTTGAAACATAACGCCTGGTGATAAGATACATATGTATATCATATATCGCTTGAATTGAATAGCCCTCGTTTATACAATTTGATGGTATTGTCATCTTTAGAGGGCAAACTTAGAAAACGTTTTGATTACTTTTGCATCATATTCAGTGTTGCCGTTTTGGCCTATTTTCGGCCAGATCTGACTTATTTTCAAGTGCGATTGCGGAAAAATGTTTGGAATCGCGGATATCGGAAATCTGGCTTATTTATGAATCGAATCAGATATTTTTATTTTTAGATATTAGTTACCGATTAATAGACAAATTAACAAGCTGGCAACAATTAAAGGCTCACATCACTAGTTCTGCAATTCTTCACTCTTTAACATATAGTGAATAAATAGATTGGCTGTTGCGACTCGCATACATTTGTTATCTTTGTGGAATGCCGAAGTCAATTAGCCAAGTCAATTTAATTAAAAATTAAATTAGAAATAGGATGAGCATTGATACGTTAAACTCAACAATAAGGTAAAGACTCAAAGAATTACAGTCTCATTAAAACAGAAACTAATATTTTTAAATTTTACATCCAAATTAAGCCGACATAACAGATGTTGTTTTGATTACATAGTTTTTCCCAACCGCCTAAAATCGATCGAAAGCAAAGAACATTTAAATTATGAGCCCAAAGAGACTGTCGAATATCTAGAAGAAGATTTATTATCAATGTAAGAATTTAAGTGAATGTAATGTTGAAATTTCTATTATTATCGTTGTATTTTTCATGAATATGAAATGTTTCTTACAATATTTGTACGTGTATTGTCTATTACGATATATAAAATCAATTTTAAAATATTAGCTTATTTTTCAGCTAATTGTGTCTGGGATTTAGCTTATTTTGGCTTATATTTTGTCCAAATTCAGCTGGTTTTTATCGGGGAAAAACGGCAACACTGATTATATTCAAGCGGGCTTTATTCGAGGAACATTGATACACGAATTTAGTTCGATACTAAGGAAAGGTATGTGTTTTGTTTCTTATACACTGATTACAGAAGTATTCGTTTGTTTGTTTGCATTCATTGAAATGTAACCTCTAATCGCTTGTGTATTTAAGTTAGCTACCTGGATTTAGTGTCGATTTTTGTTAGTGGCTAAAGCAGTGCTTCAGAGATGCTACGAACAACATAGTACATATGCGTTGTTAGTTAATAACATGAATTTTTATTGGGAATTTTTATAGAAATGACGTCCTAAAATTTAACTCCTGATTATAAGTACTATATATATATAATATATATATATATATGTATATATATATATATTGTATATGTATATATATACAAGTGAATATTCAAATATATGTACATTATACGCAATGCCTACACTTTGGGGTAGTATAGTACCCCATAAATTTTGCTACATCAATGCGCTCACATTTTGCTAATTGGTTATTTTCCTTACTGCCATTGTGGCGCATTATTTCTATAACTAATTCAACTAAAATTTGGCTTAATAATAAATTCGCATACAAGTACATGAAAGAGTTTGATAAAGGAAACTGTCGAGGAGGGCGTCGAGGGATGTCCGGGATATTAGTGTTTCGGCTTAATTACTGATAGATTTTATTTAGCTGATGTAGAGGCATCATTCGCAAGCGTGCGGGACTTCCGTTTTTTCAACTTTGTCTTAACCTTGCGTACCAGGTTGACCGTGTCTAGGGATATTCCTGCCACTTGTTTATTTTCGATGCGGCATTGAAACATGTTTTGAGTATCAGAGGCGAGACTGTTGCTGCTATTCTTTATGGGCAGACCACCAGTATGGGGAAAACGTTTTGAAACATTAACACCCCCTGCATGACTGCCCAATGATTGTTGGACCGCTGTTACGACTATGCCACCAGTCTTAAACTTACTAGTAATGCGTCCACCAGGGTTTTGAATGCCACTGACAGAGGCGTTTTGTATGCTTTCTGATCCGCTGCCTGATTGAGTTTTTAAAATTAGCCTTTGCATCTGAGTAATTTGATGTTGCTGTAGATTACCAGTGGCAGAACCTCCAGTACTGGTATGCGTTCGTGAAAAACGTGTTACAAACTGCGTCGTATCAGCAAGTTTAATGATACTTGTCTTGCGTTTCCCCTTCCCAGTTACTCCGGACACGTTTGAATGGGCATCATTTCCGCCGGTTGTTCGGATGATTTTTTTTGGTTTGCGACCGCGTATAAAGATCTGCGGATTCTCTAGTTTAGTAGTCGTTCCGCCCAAAAGGCGCGTGTTTGACGGCTGTGCTTTTTTATGGCTTTGCTGCCACAATAACAGCTTTTCTGAACAGGCGCTACAAATGATAAATTTATAAATCTCCTACGAATTTTTTTTTTTTTTTTCAAACTTACTTAAATAAATCCACCTGCTCCAATTTGCGGGATCTACGTGGCGCACCTACATAAGCAGGTGGTAAGGTTGCTGAACCTGTTTTTGATTCTGCTGCCGATATCAATGGTTCCTTGTTGCTAGCGGCGGTATACATGCTTCGAGCTTGTGACCCTTCAGCGCTTCGAAGAGCTGCAGTAGCTGCTGCCGTTGCCATCACGGTAGCCATGTGAGCATGTGCCTGGGATTGGCCTTTGTACCAACCCAGTGGTCGAACGTCAGAGTCACCGTGAGCTCCCGCCCAAATTTTTTTTTTAATGGATAGTTTTACATGTAGGTCCTCAGCGTGGTTTGAATGGCCATGTCTTTGCAGATTTAGTGGGATGAAATTGTTTGGTATACTGCGGACGTAAGGAGAGGACTAGAAAATGATATGTACTAATCGGCTCAAAACTTACCGCCTCGGTGGACTCTTCTGAATCTTTGGGTCTGGCTTTGATTCGTTCATGAAGAAACTAGGTTTAGCACGGCCGCTATCTTGGTTGAGATTGTGCCAGGAATACGTGCGTCGAGCGCCAGTACCGCTTGTCTGGGCTTGCATCTGAGCTTGTTGCTCGGGTGCTGTGCTAGGTATCAGTTTGTATACTTCCAATTTTTTAACCCCACCTGGACCGCAGTTTTTGGAGGGTGCTGTCACGATTAATTCTGGCGGCATATGAGCGGGTTTGGGCTTTTGTACTACCAAGTCTCCAATTTCTTCAATATATCGCCGCTGCAACTCACTCTGCAGTAGAGTGTGACGAAGTGGTGCTACTGCCCCAAATGTGACGTTACCTGTTGGGAAAAGTTCTTCATCATCTGTGGAAAAATGTAAATCAGAGCCCGGATCGGTGGTAGGTAAATCGAGTGCCGTTCTAATCACTTCGCCACGCTTCTTAAGCGGCTTGTTTCGGATACGCTGTCGGCGGTTCTAAAACAAACGAAAAAATGTATAATTAGAATACGGTATATTGTAGAAGGGTATTTCAATTTTTGATGTGATGGCATGGCGCTTAAATGAGTTAAATATTTCTATGTTAATTTATCGTTTTGTATTTATTCTACAAATTTAGCAACTGGTTATGTGAAAATAGAAAGTAGAAGTGTTTCGCCAGGCCACAGAAATATTTCTTGTACTTATAGTGTATAGTTCACAGCTCTTGAATGTACCTTTTTGCGGCGAAAAATGAAAATGCGTCGGTTAGCCAGCCAAAGTCGCAAGTTCCGGTCAATACGCATTTTTCGGTTAGTTGCTTTAGTTTTGCATTTTTCTGTAGGCATGTGCTTCTTTTTTTTGTTACGCTTACGAGTTGACTGTTTACCAGTCTGATTTATTTCGTTACTTGCATCGGTCAATAAGTCTGACGACTGAGACCCATTGCTTTCGGAGCTTTCAGAGTCAGGCGACTGGCGTGCGGTTTTGACTGTTATCTGGGGGCTTTCGCTGCTTATCAATCTCTCACTGGCATTGCCATTTGGTGAACTTGGTCCACCCCCACCACCAGTAGCACGCTTTGAACCAACCGCCTTGCAACCCAATTTATGGCGGCGGCGCTTAAGACGCGCAAGAGCCTTGAACTTTCGTTGTAGAACCGGCGAAAAGTATATTTGATCCAAAACATGCATCACCTTATGCATTCGTCGGACTCGAAACTGTTGGTGGTGAGTGAATATAATCGTGATGTGCTCAATGTGCTTTGAAAGGAAACAATTTTACATCCAAAATTACCTTGCGAATCTCATGCATAATCTCAGGTGAACTCGGTGGCGCTCGAATAGGCGCACAGCAAGGACCTTCAAGATCAGACGCTGTAATCGAATGTTTGCCTTCATTGTCAGAGCTAGAGCTGCAGTTACCTTCGTCACTAAGGCAGAATATAATAAAGGAAAAAAGTTTTAATTTTATACATCTGTAAAAATAAACAAGTAAGAAGGCTCTAGTCGAGACTGCTCGACTAGGAGATACCCTGAACCCTCTAAGCTGATATTCTAATCATTCTGCACTTCTTTTATGCACACATACATACACATGCATCCACACGCACGCATAAGCCTGCGCTATGCTAACTGCGCAGTAAGCAGCGACTGCGCTTGGGCTGCGCTGCAGTGTGGGCAATATTATGAGAATTTATTTGTTGAATAATTTCTTTTGTAAACATACGATCTCATTGAAACTTCGAGCATAATCATATGGTGAATATGTGTGTACATTCCAAAGCACAAGTCTCTAGTACTTGAAATGTGCTTTTTACAAATTAGGGGCGAAGGGGGCGTGGTATCCAAAATCTGTAAATTACAAAATCTTTGTATCCATTAACTTTATATACAACGCAAATTTGAATACTCCAGTTCTAAAAGTGTTCAAGTTAGGCATAAAAAACAAAATCAATTTTTCGATTATTCTCGATAAAAAAGTTATCAGATGAGTTATCGAAAAAATAAAGCAAACTCGTACGGCGTATGGCATACACGAGTATGCATGCCAAATTTCAGCTCTTTAGCTCGTATAACTTCTGAGACCGACGCACTCATACGGACGGACGGACGGACGGACAGGGCTATATCAACTCAGCTCGTCCTGCTGATCAAGAATATATATACTTTATGGGGTCTGCGATGACTCCTTCTGCCCGTTACATACTTTTTCACAAAACCATTATACCCTGATTTCCCATTTTCAATGGGTTCAGGGTATAAAAACGTGTTTTTCAATTCGGATTCACAAGCATGTCTTTAAAAAGAGCGCAAAAGGCGCCAATCAGTACTATATCCACGGAATTATCATTGATTTCAAGTAACAAAAGTTTTTATCTTAGATCCAAATTTTTTTTCAAGTATATGTCGATCTTCATCAAGTCAAGTAATTTCATCGCAACTTAATGAATATTTATACAAATATTTATTTAAAAATATATAAACTTTCCTTAAGTTTCAATGAAATCTCTATCTATCTCTATCTTTAAAAAATGGTATCTTTATAAAATACATAATATCAAAAGATAACTATTATTACGTCAATTTACGAAACGAGTAATGCTATTTCGTACTAATTAAATGATATTTGTAATCCTACCTTTAAAACTGCAACGGTATATGTATTTACTTCATATGAAGGCTAATTGCTTTTCGTTCAGCCAGAATTGAAACAAGTAAGAAAGCTCTAGTCGAGACTGCTCGACTATGAGATCCCTTCAACCCTTCGAGCAACTAATATTTCAATAATTCGCACATGCACACACATACGCACTATCTTCATGAAACTTTCAGATTATAATTATAACATGCATGTATTTGCCAAAGCACAAGTCCCTTGTATTTGAAATACACCTTTTACACATATGTGGGTAAGGGGGTGATATAGGGGTGGAGGGTAAATACAAACATCGAAATTGTATAAAATGCATCTAAATATATATTCAAAATTTGGAGACTCAAGCTTTAAAAATGTAGGAGATATAATTTTATAACTGATTTTCGATAATGTTTTTAATCGATAACTAAATAACAAGTCGAGTTATCGATTTATGGAGAAAAACTCGATATCCGCGCTATATATACAGACATTTAAAATTTGAAGTCTCTAACTCATATATTTTCTGAGATCGACG